GGGATTGGTATTGAACCACAGTCCACATCGTCAGGGTATGCTGACACTTTGTCTGAACCATGTCACCTAGCCTGACCACTCAATCTGTTAAATCGCCTCTTACAACCAGCATTAGTTGTTGGGGAGCAGTTCTAACCTGGAATCCCCACGGATTACATCAAGCTTAATTGATAATGTATTATTTTTGTATTGTTATTATATTATTGTTATCAGTGTTTCTTCATAGACCTTGAGACAATAGAATGTGCACAAGCTAAACAAGTTTCAGTCAAAGTGTGAATATCAACTTTATTTTTATTAATAATGTGTCATGTTTATTTGGTTATTTTATTTAAAACGGTTACCATGACTAATGAGAATGAACTTGTCCCAAATGCAGATGTTCCCAGTTAAATATTTGTCCTTCCTAACTTGGTAAATTGGATGCTGGTGAAAATCGTAATTATTTATAACACAAGAAGAGAGGCCCTCAGCCCCAGGTTACTGATGACAGGAAGTGATCAGCGTCATGGCTGAATGTGTGTCTGTGTGTGTGTGTATATATGTATAGATATCCGACATTTGGGGTTCATTATAGTCTTTATACAGCTCTTGGATGACTGGTTGGCGCCAGTGGCACTGTTTTCCTGTAGTCCCCTGTAGGTTTGATTTCTTTATTACTCCCTGATTTGTATATTTGTTTATGATATCGCTTCAGGTCATTGATTTGACCCCTTATTACCTGACCCTACCCAGGTACCCACTGCAGGTCTCAAGAGTTGGGAACAAAATGTCTGATTGGGAATTGTTTTACCGCAGCCCTGGCAAAAACTATTCAGATACATGTATCAAACGTTCAGATCATGTGTACACTGAAGTTGACTGAAGCTTTTAATCTTTACTCAAACATATACAAATCAAAGGAATGTGTGCATCGTCAGAAAGAATTGCGAACGTTAGCGACTTGTAGTGTAACCACTGAGCTATAGTGAGATTTTGTCATTAAACAATATATCACGTGACTAACCACAGGTCTGGGTAGGACTGTGGGTACCCGGGTCCTACTCAGGACCCACCCGATCCGAGTACCTGAGTTACCTGTCCCAGCCCTGCATTGATTAGCTTCAGTTCTTGTTTCACGGATCTCCTGTTCTGCTCAGCAAGTTACAGGAAGGTACTTGGTGGTACCCTGACTGTCGCTCAGCACTTGAAGGGATAAAATGAGGATTGGGTGCATCAGACCAATCAACAACCGGTGCACCCATGTTCTGAAACAAAGTTCTTTAGATGATAATGCTATAGCAGGACCACTGCTTGCTGTGACAGTATACAACATTCACTCACTCACACACTCACTCACTCACTAGCTCACTCACTCACTCACTAACAAACATCAATCAGATAACCTTTTTGTGTTGACATAGCACTTTGTATGGAATATGAAATAAAAGAGTCTATGTCAACACAAAAAGGTTATCTGATTGATGTTTGTTAGTGAGTGAGTGAGTGCTCAACAACAGATTCTCCCTTTCATCATCACCGCTGTTATTTGTATCCATCAACAGTCACAATATTACAGAGACAGTATATTTGCAATATGAAAAATTTATGAAATATAATTACCCCACCTTACTTTTTCTAAAAAGAAATTGTTGAAATTCAAATACTTAATTTATTGTGACCTTAGGTTTGTGGTATGTGTGTCAGTTTGTGATGGAGATATTGTGCTTCAGAGGGGCTTGACACACATTTATCAAGGGATTGGCATTACCTAGCACAAGTGTGTCTTTCTCTCATCAGTGACGAACAAAACATACCTAAATCATCGCAGGGGTCCATTCATGGTACTCTTCGCCCCGTGAGGTTCTGGGTTCGAATTTGTCTTCAGCAAACCATGCATGTCGTAAGAAGTGACTAGCGGGATTGGGTGGTCATGATCGCTGACTTGTTTGATGCATGTCATCATATCCCATTATGTAGATTGAATCACTGGATTGTCTAGTCGATACTTGATTATTTACAGGCCGCCGTCATTATTGCTGGAGAGAGAGAGAGAGAGAGAGACTCTTCATGTGTAATGAAAACTTTAACGTACATTGTAGTCATAAAACGTAGCCATAGGCGACAGCCAACGTTATGTTTTTGATGTCATAGTACGTGATAATTGTGGGAGGCGTAAATGCATTATGGTGTGAGCATGGTGAGTGCAAATATGCACATTGAGCTTCATGGGGATTGTTCAAAAGTAGAAGTGAGCGGTGAGCATTATATTGGAGGAACTGGTATGCAACTAAAAGGCTGAGTGATTGCACACAGTGAACAAATATGATAATCTAAATGTACGTTACATAAACACATTGAATGATGAATGCGGGAGTGGCCATATTACTGTCTTTCCGTTTTATTAATTGTTTAACAATGATTTCAGAACAGATGTTCGTTAGGCTTTTGAAACCTAAACTTAATTCTAAGGTATAATTTTCAAAACTCTCCTATATATTTCTATGTTTATTTGTGCACGCACACCACAATGTATTTGCTCCTCACGCTCTTGTCCCGGAATTCTGACATCGAAGGCATTAAGATGTCAAGGCCATAATGTTGTCTGTTGCCTATGACTATGTTTTACGTCTCCCTCTATTGTCACTAACTGTTACGGCATAGGCATCATGACATCACAAATACTGCCATTGTGCCTCGCCTATGACTACGTTGAAGTTTTCATTACACCTGAAGAGCCGTTGAGCGGCGGAAGATCATCCTGTGCGTGACAAGGCTTCAAACAGGACCTGTGCCTCAGATCATCCTGTGCCTAACAAGGCTTCAAACAGGTCATGTGCCCCAGATCATCCTGTGCTTGACAAAGCTTCAAACAGGATCTGTTCCTCAGATCATCCTGTGCTTGACAAGGCTTCAAACAGGACCTGTGCCTCAGATCATCCTGTGCTTGACAAGGCTTCAAACAGGACCTGTGCCTCAGATCATCCTGTGCCTAAAAAGGCTTCAAACAGGTCATGTGCCCCAGATCATCCTGTGCTTGACAAGGCTTCAAACAGGACCTGTACCTCAGATCATCCTGTGCCTAACAAGGCTTCAAACAGGTCATGTGCCCCAGATCATCCTGTGCTTGACAAGGCTTCAAACAGGACCTGTGCCTCAGATCATCCTGTGCCTAACAAGGCTTCAAACAGGATCTGTGCTTCAGATCACCCTGTGCTTGACAAGGCTTCAAACAGGACCTGTGCCTCAGATCATCCTGTGCCTAACAAGGCTTCAAACAGGATCTGTGCTTCAGATCACCCTGTGCTTGACAAGGCTTCAAACAGGACCTGTGCCTCAGATCATCCTGTGCCTAACAAGGCTTCAAACAGGATCTGTGCTTTAGATCACCCTGTGCTTGACAAGGCTTCAAACAGGATCTGTGCTTCAGATCACCCTGGCCTCCGTGGTCTTGTGGTAGAGCGTCCGCCCGGAGAGCGGAAGGTCCAGGGTTCGATCCTGGGCCGCGTCATACAAAAAGACGTTAAAAGATTGTACTTGTTGTTACCCTGTCTGGCGCTCGGCATTAAGGGGCTAAAACAAGGACTGGTCGGCTCGGAGTCAGTATACTGTGTCTGAGTGGGGTATTCATGTTAAACTGCGGCATGGTATCTCAGTGAGCTAGCACTATAAATCGGCATCAGTCCGGACTAGTACAAGCAGCCACACACACACATACACGTGCATGCATGTCGCTATATAAGTGCAATAATCTTGGACGCGACGTTAAACCCAATTTCACCTCACCTCACCTCAGATCACCCTGTGCCTAACAAGGCTTCAAACAGGTCCTGTGCTTCAGATCATCCTGTGCTTGACAAGGCTTCAAACAGGATATGTGCTTCAGATCATCCTGTGCCTAACAAGGCTTCAAACAGGTCCTGTGCTTCAGATCATCCTGTGCCTAACAAGGCTTCAAACAGGTCCTGTGCTTCAGATCATCCTGTGCGTGACAAGGCTTCAAACAGGTCCTGTGCTTCAGATCATCCTGTGCCTAACAAGGCCTCAAACAGGTCCTGTGCCTCAGATCACCCTGTGCGTGACAAGGCTTCAAACAGGTCCTGTGCTTCAGATCATCCTGTGCGTGACAAGGCTTCAAACAGGTCCTTTGCTTCAGATCATCCTGTGCCTAACAAGGCTTCAAACACATCCTGTGCCACGTTCAGATCACCATATTTTGGGGTGAAACCTGTTCCAAATCTTTTTACATTTCCAAGTTAATGTTGATTTAGTTAAATATGTAATTTGCCAACTGGTAACCTCACCAGGTTTGAAGTGCATGTAATCGAAATCCATACGTATATATGTATATTCCATTTTTTTGTGTGTAAAATACTTGATAGTGTTATAGTTTGAATTTGGTAGACTTTCAGTGAGTTACTTTAGCCATAAGTCTGAAGTCTGAGAGTCGTACAACATCTTCGTGTCTGTAGTCAGATCACATTATACTATAAACACATTTATACTAAAATATGCTGAAAATAATGTGAAACATGTCCTGACAGTTGACTCAAAAGGTTCTGGTACAGACTGGATTAATGGAATAAAATCAGTGGATTAGTGGTAATCATGTGTTGAAAAATATAAACTTTATCGTTTATGGTTAGTAAAAAAAAATTGATAGTTGAAAAAGATATTCTGTTGAGAATTCTGTTGTTGTGATATATCATAAAAAAACACTTGAAGTTTTCAATTATATTAAATATCAATAATTATCTTTCTTTTCCGCAGAATTGTTAAATATAATGTATATCAGTTTTAATCTCATGTGAAACAACAATAACATATGCAATTTGAACTAGGTTAAAAAATAGGATAGCATCATCATTTATTCAGGTCAATCAAAATAACGTTGAAGACTAAAACAGAAGTGCTGTGAAAGGGTTAATGTGCGTGACATCAGTGTGTATACAAATTTATGCTTGATTTATGATAATGTAGGTAGTGGGGTCTTCTCCTAGCAACCCTCATTGATACGAGCACAATGTGGGTCACATGACATGCATGATGCAAACTCTGTGAGAATGAGCATGTTGGCGGCATGTGTGACACACTTTCCAATAATCCAAGGAATAGCTCAGCTGGCAAAGAGCCAAGCCGTCCCAGGCTCAAAAACTAACTAGGCCTCATCTAAATGTAGGTTACGTCAAACTTGTAGGATAGCAGGTAGGAGCTGGAGGAAGCACTGAGATTTTAGGACAGATTTCTGGCTGGATTTGTACTCTTGGACACTGCCAGTGGAGATGAGGAAAGTGTGTATTGATGAGGATGGAGTGAGATGGACCAGTTCCCTCAGCAGCTTCTGTAGTGGGACCATGTAACACACGATGCTTGAAGGCTGAGGTTGGAGGGGGAGGGAGCAGCACTGGCCTACTTCAGGTGGCGGTTGTCTTTTTCTGTCACAGATTGAAATGATTTTCCTTGATTGCCCTCCAAGTCAACAGATGGCTTGTGAAAATTTGAGTGACAGAAGACACCCACCAGCTGAAGGCAGCGGTATGCAGGACGAATGGATTTGGTTGGAGCTTTGCCACAGATCTTTTTATCAAACAACTGAGATTTGCTGAAATGAAGGTGAGAATTGTTTGATATCAGTTAATTATTCAAGTAAAAATGCTGTGTGTATTTTGTAAGGATTGCTGTTCGGTTATTGAGTATTGAGTATTTTGTTTTTGAAAATATTTTTTTTTACAGATTATTTACTGTTTTAGCCATTAAAACAACCACTTGTTGCTTGTCCTAAATGATACTCAAACCTGGATTTGATATAACAGTAACAGAAAATGTATCCATTTTGACATATTTGATGATTCTATATCACACTGACGTCCAGAGGGTTTTATGTACAGTGTGATCTGAATTGAGGCCAGAAACATGTTGTGGTACAGCATTACCAAGCCTACCATTGATCTCCCGGCAAATCAATACTGTGAGTGCTGTAAATGAGGTCACCTCGCCCACAGCCCAGAAATAGGTCAACAGGTCATATTGTACTCGCTGGTGAAGAATCAGGTCAGCCCTCAGCCTGCTTGGTTATATATATAGTGGAGGTACTACACCGGTACCTGTGCACTCAAGCTTCTGATTTGTGAACACCTTCCATTATCAGGGCTGCTTTTATTAGTCTTATCCTGCTTATGTTGGTTGTGGGCTTGTGATTGATTTGGATCAGTGAAAAGAAATTGATTTTAGTGACCAGAGATTTAGCTAGGCCGGCTTTGAGGTCGATATACCACGCAGAGTCTGCAGCAAATGTTAGCAAAAATTTCAAGTTGGAATTAGACTTCCCAATTCATCCTGTTATAGTTATAACTAATGTTATGGCTTCGTAGAGGTGGCTTGTATTTCACTGATAAACTTGATAACAGGACCAACAAAGAGGAAGAAGATTAAATGCTCAGTTAAATAATTGCATTGAAAGCAATGTTCAATGATAAAATATGTCTGAATTCATAACAAAAGGAACTTTTTACAAATACCAATTTTGAAAAAATTATGATTTTTCCCAAATTGGCTGCCAAGGGCACTTATTTTGGAATCCGTCCATGCAGAACAATTTTATTCATCTAACAGGAACAGTTTTCAGGGAGATAGGATATCTAAGGTGCTATTTATAGTGCTGACATCGCATTTAAGTGTCAGAATTTTTCAGCATTTGAAAGGAGTTCTGATGAAAATGGATGCATTGTCTGTTCTGAGTGTCAGTTTCAAGTGTGTCTGCGGTATGACATGGTTACTAAAGGTGATTTGTTCAGACACAATGGCTAATAAGACACTGTTACAATACTATTATATATTGAAGTATTCTAAATCAAGCATGAAAGTTGAAGGGTCCTTGTCATCGCCCCTTGTTAAAACTTAAAATTCTTGTGGTCCCTTTAATTACCGAGGCACAATCCTCACTGATCCCCCTTTTATAACAGAGCTCCTGCAGTAGTCGTATCGTTATTGGAATAGAATTGAGATAGTGGTATGACTCCCTTTCCTTCCTACAATAAATAAGTCCCAACACCTCAGTGTTCTATGTTCAGATAGACAGACTGAATATATTGTGTACCATATTTTCTTGAGTATAATACGCGCTATTATTCACGTCATAATGAGTTTTGATGTTTTTTCCCCCCAAACGCAAAGACATTACCGTGAGCACTTAACACCAGAAATATTCGGAAATAGTTTTTTCCTATCATACTCAAAAAAATATGCTACATTAGGCCAATAATACAAACAAAAGGACAATTAAATGTACACAGTGAATAATTGGCTGGAGTATAATACCCTTTAAGTTACAGTGATAGATGTTTTGCTTCTTATCTTTAGCACTTGGCAAATGAATTGACTAAAATGTTTAACATTATGGATATTGTCGGTTGACAGTCTACAAAAGTCTCAGTTGTTGGTTGATTGATGAGATGATTGACAAGACATTCCATGTAGGACAGGAATGCCTGTCACCTATCAGTAGTACATGACGTTCATCTTAACATGATCAAGGCCTCTATAAGGCTTTCGCATGGGAGACAAAACACAGGTGTTTGTCATATGGAATCTTTCTATGGCGCCACATTCAACTGCAAGCTTGGCAAGATAGAGGCACAAGCTACCCAGGTTTCTAAGGCATTTACATAAGCGGAGAGTCTAAGTCAAGAAAAATTCAGTTCAGTTAAGTAAGCGCATCTAATAATTGTCTGTATAATGATACTAAATTCTACATATTGGTGAAAAGAATTGATGATTAAATCATCTTGTCATTGGTGAACTGCATATTGGCCATGGCTGAAATCATTTGAGTGCTAGTATTCTTAACCAGTTCTGAATAAAACTGACAGAAAATGGAAATATATTAAACATTTTTGTTTCATTCAAGGACTAAGCTACAAACTCTGAGGACTAGTGAAAAAATGTTTCCCTTTAAAGGAATTTCTAAGGCCGCCATAATGTGTTCCACATAACTGTTGCATGTTCTTTGACATATTTCTGCAATTAGAGTGAGTTTCCATTAGCGAGTACCTGAGTCCTCTGTAACGGACCCGTGCTATGCTGAAACCAACTCGGCCACGAGTACTTGGAGTCCCGGTAGCCAGTAGTGCTGTGTAATCAATATTTATCTCCCATTAACCTAGATGTTATCAGGGACTCTGCATGACTGTAGAAATATCCATAAGCCAGAGACATTACATTTTCTGATTACTGTGACCTATATCTCAAGGGCTTGTGCTATCTTAATGATATATTTAAAAATATATATACACAGCTCCCCCACCTCATCAGGTAATATGTGTGTGCTTCTGGCTACATTTATTCATATACCCCTAAACATTGGCCAACAAGAGATTTATCCTTCCAGCATAATTTTTTGCCTGTTAATCTAAAATATCTTCATCAGTATGCCTCATAGACTATTTCACTGACATCCTGAATGCCAGCAGACAAGAATTATCCCCCTTGCATACATCCGGATATGCTCTGTTAAGTTCTATAAACTGCATTTGATCAGATAGGTGTTCAGTTTATAGTATCATATTATTCATATCATTGTATTAGCCTTGGTGAGAAGTTCAACATTCCCCAGAGGGGAATATGAAATTTATATCCTATCTGTCAGCGGAGTACTAGTCCATTCAGAAACCAATCCGAAATGATTATCTTGATACAAAGTAAGATAAGGGCCTATATGATTACTCTTAAGCATGATGTTTGTATTATGTGCATATTGCCATTTATAGGACATCCATTGGACATACTGCTTTCAAATTTGTTGATGTTCAAAAGATCCTTCTTAACAATATATTTCACTCAGAACAAGTAAAAGAAAGCCAAGTGTTCAAAACCCACCAGCCATGACACATTAACTGCAGTCATATGAAAAACTTGTGTTCTTATTTTTTTTTGAGTAGTACTGTGTATTAATATTGACACACTAACCCTATTTAGGAAGACAAATCTTATCCAAAGCTCTCCAACCCTTTGACCCAAATGTCCACTGCGATATATAAGGCCACACTTTTTTCATTTTATGTTTCACGGATTTATTCCAGCTTTTCCACACATGGTCGGTTTTTTAAATAAAAATAATAGGAAATGGCAATCATTTATATATTGATATGAAAATCATTCTGCCATGGAGTTAAAACTGCAGGTGCCTCTTGAAACACGGATAGTTTTGTAGACGCGTAATCTATGTATAACATTTTGTATTGTATAAGAGGGTCTATATTACAAGCGGGACATATAATAAAAATAAATATTTTTATGTTTAATTAATTTCTAAGACATAGACCGACTGTTTTTCAGTAGGGATGGAAGGCCCGTGAAATGAAAAATAATAAATGTGTGGTCTAAAGGAAACATTTAAGGTTTCAAATAGGGTGCCTACAGGTTGTGCCCTAGGTCATTGTGAATGTGTCGCCGCGACATCATGGATGGATGCTCATGCTGATGGTTTGCCTGACGAATTTGTTAACAGTGATGAGACAGCTAATTATTTCCGAAGTTGTTATTAAAAACGTCTGTCCATGAAACTTTTCGAACAGTCTCGGTTCTGAAACGCTAACAGGTAGACATAATGATTATTCTTATTATTAGTAGTATCACTTGCTTTCTGTGCTTTGAAAGATGAGAGTGTCATCTCCTTGAATACTCCTACCATTTTGCACAGAATACTCTGAAACTAGTTGCTTTTAAGACCGAAAAGACTGGAGAGTATATTAGGCAATATGTTACTGGTAACAAAACTTGCGCTCCTGTTTACAGGTCTTAAGCACTATATCCACTTCACCAAGGTGGTAAACGTCTAAATCCTGCATCACTTCAGGCTTTCCTCCCACATCAAGCTGACACGCTGTAGTAGAACTGCAATACTGTTCGAAGCCATGTTCATCTGGTTAATGTGAACTGACTCTCATGCGGTATACACTACTGTGTTGACATGGTCCTAGCTACCATGGTCGATATTGATCCCTCTGTTGTCCCAGCCCTGAAATATGATGCTTTGGTTCAGGGGATAGTGTGTCGATCTCATTTGCTAGCTGGCAGTAAAGATCTGTTATGCAGGTTTGCAGTAAACAAGCCAGGAAAACATCGGGTTTAACTGTTGTCATTTCTGTAAAACAGTCAAAGTTATTAAACAAGCTCTCCTCCACACACAGATTTAGATGATAATAAAAAAGTAAAAGACTATTTAAGGAATATTAAGTGACCCCCTCAACTTCGGTGGAACTATAAGTTAGCCCCTTGAAGATCTGGGTTACAACTGGTCTTCAGCAACCCATGCTTGTCGTAAGAGGCAACTTAATAAATGGCATCAGGTGGTCAGGATCACTGACTGGGTTGATGCATATCATTGTATCCAAATTGCGTAGATCGATGCTCATTATGTTGATCACTGGATTGTTTGGTCCAGACTCGACTGTATATAGACCACCATCATATAGCTGGAATATTGCTGAGTGTGGCTTTAAGTTTCAAAAACACACTTGAAGTTTGTCCAGTTTGTTCTTAAGGAAAGGGTCGTGGAGAATGATGATTACGCAGAATGCGGGTCATGACAACCTAGCAAGAACATCTTGATGCTG